CAACATATGATCTTGTGCCACATTTGCACAAAATTACAAAACATGAAAAGGTTTAAAACAAGCAGAGAGAAACATTTAATAAAAATGGGATATCATGCCAGGCTTGCATGAAAGTACAAACATAAAAAATACATTAAATAAAATGAAAACATATAAGAGGAAGAATGAACTCATCTGATCGTAAGAAAAGTTGTTTTTCTTTCATTTCTCTTATATCTATTTCTTTCTTTCCTTTCCTTTCTCTTTTTAGATTTATTTTCTTTCTTTTTCTTTTTGTATAAGCGTCTCTCTTTGAGGTCTTTTCTTTCTTTTTTCCTTTCGTTTGCTCTTGAATTTTCCTTGAGATCTTTTCTCTTTTTCTTTTTTATAAGTATCTCTTTTTGAGATATTTTCTCACTTTCTTTTTCTTTTTTTTATAAGTATCTCTTTTTGAGATATTTTCTCACTTTCTTTTTCTTTTTTTTATAAGTACCTCTTATCAGTTCGAAGGGGAACATTTTTCGAATGACCAATTTTATAACCGATTATCGCCTTCATAGCCGTCTGTCCGTTCAATTCGAAGATGGACTCACTTTCGCGTACCCAAATCTATAGTTGACTATCGCAGTCATAATAGGCTCGTCTTTCCAGTCTTAGCGACTTGGTCAGGGACTTTTTCTCACATAACCATCACAGGACCATCGCATCTATAGCGGACACGTCCGTCCAGTCCGAAGGCTTGGAAACGGGCTAACTTTTCGTTTTTTTTTTTTTTTCTTCTTTTTTCTTTTAATTCTTTTCTCATCACGTGGTCCTTATTTCCAAAGAGGAACCTTTTTCCATTGTGAGTGAAATGAGGTCACTGACCCTTTCTCTCATCTGCAGGGTCACAGGAAGTTTAAAGTGTTTCAGTTTCTCTATCTGCGATCCATCCGACTAAATTATGCTGTCAACACGTGATTAAAGAAGAAAGAAAATGTACAATCTGGTTAATATCTGTTAACATTCAATTCTACCTTATCTCTTTGCTTTCCTATTTCTACGCTTTCTGATAGTACTGAGCTTTTTACTTAAAATGTTTCTAAAATATGAATCTCTTGTAGCGGACCCCCAAGCGCCCCCGTATCACAAAAGGGTGATGAGGTCACAAGAGGCCCGCTAACATTTTTGAAGACGTTAAATCTGACAAGGTGAAACAACATGGACGACAGAACGAGGATATATGATATATGCTAATTTATTCTAGAAAAGAAATAAAAGTGGTCGGAACGATAGAGATGCAGATGTTCCGGTGCAGGCATTGATGGTCGAGGTTGGTTGTTACAGGTGATCGCTGTTGGTCATGCAGGGGGTTGCTGCAGAGATGATCGCTTTAGTTGAAGTTG